TGGCACATGAGGCTTCAGAGAGGACTTTCCAGGCTTTCCTGTCCTGTGCAATCTTTAGTGCAGTTTTCCATGTCAAAGATGCCGCACTCAGGTCACTTTCCATCGTTCGTCCCCATGTTGTTTTCGGGCGTCCCTTTTCTCTCTTTCCCTTTGGTGTCCATGTGAGAGCTGTTTTGGCAGGTATATCAGAAGTCATTCTCATAACGTGGCCAAGCCATTTCTATCTTCTCTTGATTATCGTACTGTCTAGAGTTTCTTGGTTTGTGACTTTAAGTAGTTTAGTGTTTGAGATTGTATCTGGCCAGAAAGTTTTGATAATTCTACGTAGACATGTGTGGTGGAAGGTGGACAGCTTGTGTGTATCCATTTTTGGTCATTCTCCAGCATTCCGCTCCATAAAGAAGAACTGGCAAAATGATGCTCTTGTAAAGTCGGCTCTAATGCCATGTAAATTTCCCAAAATACTATGGACTACGATGAAGAAAAACACCGACCTCCTTCATTCTACCCATTGAGGAAAATTGGCTCATAAATAGCATTCTGTCCAGAAAGCTGGTGTATTTTGGTTGTGGTGGAGGGGAAAGAACGGAAGTTACCGTTTTCATAAAACAAGCAGAGACAGACCTCCGCGATGTAGATACAAGACACTGAATATGCATTGGCAACGAAAGCACATAGGGCTAAAGGAGAATTGGCTTGAGGAAAAAAAAAAAGACTTTCGGGCGTCCCGTGAGGAGAGCGACGTTCTACAAAGGACCTCCTGCTTGATGATGATTCTCATGTACTGTTGTGATAGTATATATTTCGCTCTGTCTCTGTTTCTCACTATCACTTTGCGACCATGTCTCTGTCTCTTCCCATCACTTTCTGTTTCTTTTGGTCCTTGTATATTTAAAGGTCTCTATCTCATCCTCTCCACCTCTCACAATCTCTCCACCTCTCACAATCTCCTCCTCTCACAATCTCTTCACCTCTCACAATCTCTCCACCTTTCACAATCTCCCCCCTCTCACAATCTCTCCACCTCTCACAATCTCTCCACCTCTCACAATCTCTCCACCTCTCACAATCTCTCCACCTCTCACAATCTCTCCACCTCTCACAATCTCTCCACCTCTCACAATCCCCCTCTCTCAATTCTCCTTCTCCCCCCCCCCCCCCTCGAGCCCCTTTGATGTTTGATCATTGAGAAAACTGGTGAAACCTGCCTCCTCCAATATTTCATTGTTTGTGATCTTGTCTTACAAATTAACGCGAAAATGAAATACATAAAAACCTGGGTATATATATATATATATATATATATATATATATATATATATATATATATATATATATATATATATATATATATAAATAAATGTATCTACTGTTTTGCTTGTATTTAACACTTTTCATCCCTGTGTAGGACACTTCGGGGGGGGGGGGGGGGGATGGGTCCTTGTGCATGAGAATTTGGGGTTCCCTTAGCTAGTGCCGTGAGTGGCGGCTAATGCTTATCGAAAAGTCGTGGGTTTACGTCCCCACAGAGCGGAACTTTTTTCAAAAAAAAAAAAAAAAAATAACTGACACTCAGGTCAATCCAGCTTTAATTGGGTACCGGGTAAAGTCCTGAGAAGTAAAGGCGGCTGGCGTTATTGTTGACCACACTCCCAAGCGAGTGCCGATTGGTCTATAAAATATAGGACTAGCCCTATATGCCCAATGTATCCCGGGCAGGCTAACCGGTCAACAAATGCCCGCAGAAGTCGGATGTGTTGGCCGAAAGGTGCAAATATCGCAGCCATGCTGTAAACGGACACAACGCAATTACATCTTCGGATGAACGCAGAAGAAAAAGAAAGATATGCCCAATATGCATGAAGGAGTGGGAAGAGGTCCTTTACTTTTACTTAGCTAGTGCAGCCACCTTGGACTGTACAGGTTAGGATCTCATTTTTGTCCCAGACAGAAATTAATCACCTTTTCGATGATTCGAACGTGAGTCTTCCGAATGAGATCCTAACGTTACTAATTGTCCTGTCCGCCACATATCTGTTTATTTTTTCCACGGGTAAAATACAGCCCACTAAATAAAACATGCTTTTATGATCACACACGAAAGCGCAGGCATACACACACGAAAGCGCAGGCATACACACACGAAAGCGCAGGCATACACACACGAAAACATGTAAATTCCTTCTTTGCAAAGCACTTGTATAGCTATCTGATTTAAACAGGTTTGGAACATTTTTTTTTTCAAGAAACAAACATTGTCATATTACCTTCATCTGACGATCAATGAACCGTGTTCTTTATTATTCTGCTTGTATTGGATGATAGAAACTTCAGGTAGGAAGGGATATTAACTTCCTCCAGTTAAGGGGTCACTACACCAATTTTTTTTTTTTTTTTTTACTTACTGTGTTAGAAAAATTATTTTATAATAGTCATTTTTAAGGATATATGTTAGTTCATTTGCATACTTACAGTTAAAAAAAAAAAATCATAGTTGTCATGGCAAAAGACGCCATCTTATGGAAAAAAACATGTACGTAGAATCCTAAAATTTTAAAAACAAACATAGATATTGAAAAAAAAAATGATGGATTCATAAATTATCGTCATATGTAGAGGTACAGGTTTAGCTTTTTAGTTTAAAGATGTTTCTAAATATTTTGAGAATTTTAAAATGTAGGTTTATTGAAAAAGTAAAAAAAAAAAAAAAAAATGGCATCATAGAATATTAAATAAATTTAAAAAAAACAAAATCTTTCTAAAATCTACATTTAAATAAACAATTCCCTATAATATTGTCTATGGAGTATCCACACGAAATTTTATGTTTCTAGTCTTTATATTAGCTGAGATGTTAGGATTTTACACACAGAACAGAAATATAGAGTTGTGAGAAAACTGACTTTTAAACTTATTTTTATCTTAAAAAGTGCCTGGTGTGGTATCTTTAGTATTAACTTTTTAATGCTGAATTGTTTACAAATGACATAAAATGTGTGTGTAATATATTCTACAAATGACGAATTTGACAAAAACGGACTCATTGAAAAAGTGATATTTTTGTCATAAATTAGACGAAAAATTGTCAAATGTTTTTTTAGCTTTTAATAGTTTACAGGAGGCTGTGCTTCGCCTAAGGTAGTAGGAGATGTAAACGTTGTATAAGATAGTCTTCATTTATTGGGTTCGTTTCATGACAACGTTGTTGTTCAGTTTAAGAGTACAATTGTTGCGGAGATTCTGGTCGGATCTACGAACTTCGTGCTTTGTGCGATGCTTTCGTCTAGATCACATTTTCCATTGCCAAAGAAAAACTCATTATTTTACTATTTATTATTACTGAAATATGATGAAAATATTACTTGATGCTCTTCAGTGTAACAGTTAGCAACGCTTACGTCCCTCGTCACCAATTCTCATAGACTCCAACTAAGTGTGGCCATCAATAGGTAATGTAATTAGAAACTAAGCGAAAGTAATTGCCCACACAACAAGCTATCGTTAGCGAACATAGACGCCCACTTGTCGGTCCGAAGGTCAAATGTTCAAATCCGCGTGATGAGGATTTTCAGAAACTGAACTTGGCTTCCAGGTCGACCCAACCTAAAATGTGTATCAGAGAAGATGCTGGGAAACAAAGGTGCCCATCGGGATTTTGATCACAACATCCATCCGATGTCGACTAGTTCTATTAAAAAAAAAAAAAAGGCCTTCTACTATATGCCCCATGCGCCAAAGGGGTAGAAGTAACATTTACTTACAGAAAATTAATCCACGCAGTGAAAAACACAAACAGAACACTCTTAGTCACTCCATGCCAACACCCAGGTGGAAGTTCTACAGAATAAGCTAAGAATCAGTTTACGTCAGCGACATATCAGATATATACGTATATTTAGTTTATGATTCGCTCTTAGCCATCACAACGAAGGGCAGAATAATGTCAAGATGTTTACTATTGTTGTTATTTGACGTATTTTTATCAGTAATCGTTTCCATCCACGAATGTAAGCTTCATAGTAGCTCTTGCGTGACGAAGATACATAGTTTGATAATGAGCCGCATATACACATAGAGACCCGATCTTTGACAGCAACAACGTATATCTGTTTTATAGCATTCACCACTTTCTGTGTGTGTCTGTGCTGGGGGAGAGGGGGGGGGGGGGGGCTTAAATTTGTACCAGCTTGAATTCTGGGAAGTAAAGGCACCCGGATGATGTTCACAACATCAAATACATGTCAATCACTATATGAACCACACTATATGAAGATATGGAAAAGGCTCCTAAACTGTGTTTTGCAAACAAAACAGAAAAAAAAAAACAAAATCGTCACGTTTTACCATCATCTCCAAAGGGGGGAGTTTGTGGTTTTAATTATGACTAAGTTATGTGCACCTAACAATATGGCGTAGCATTGATCGCCACCAAGTGGCCATAAAAAGGATTCTTGCAGTGTTGTTTCGATCAAAGAAGACAACCCAAATACCGTCCCGTTCGGCGACGAAGTCGTCTACCGACCAACCAATAGGCGACCGGTGGCGAATGAATTTTCAAAATCGCACACGCAACGTAAAAATGCACAAAGCTATCAGCTGTGCCAACACCAACGGTCTCACACCATAATTGCAGCTCACTGTTGGGGCAAACGGTCAACGCGGGAGCTGCCAGGGTAATCACTGAACGATAAATGTATTGTGTGTGTGTCTGTGTGTGTGTGGTGTGTGTGTGAGTGCGTGAGTGTATTTTAATGTTAAAATTGTTTTCTACTAGCATATATTTTATTTTCAGTATTTTTCAACCCCCCACACCC